TGTGAGTGCGTATCATGTTTGCATGTGAATGTTTAGCACATGTAAGGATGAGAAAAAGCTTGTTCACGTGCAGTGTGTGTTTCATGCCCTCTATGCACTGTTTATTTTTATACCAGTGGAACACACTGACCGTGCTGATATGAACCATATTAATGACCATGTCAACCTATAGATGGCAGCTTAGGAGAGCGTAGCCAATTCTCTATTATTAGATAACAGTTTAAGGCAAAATTAAATTTTATTTCACATAACAAATCCTACTTATGTGTATTCAATAACAACAACAAAAAATGAATAAATACATTTAAAAATCTGAATTCATTGTTTTGATGATGATGATGTCCCAAAAACCAGTACATCATATCTGCGCATTAAACTTATCACAGTTTAGCTCTGCCCATTTATGTTGGATGTATAAGGAGTGTTTCAGCCCAGGCTGCTTCTTGAATGAAGCACATTACATAGCACCAATGAGAACAGAGGTCATTTATGTATATCAGTCTTAAAGGCACAGTAACAAATACAGATTGGTTGGAAAGCGGTAATATAAAAATTCATTTTGGCTGGTGCATAAACGCACACATACACGTGTTTGTGGTGAATGGTATCAATGGACATGTACTTCATTACTGTATTTAAGCACTTTTTTCAGTACTTTATGAAAGTAATTTCCATTTTAAGGCCTTTACTTTCCACTACAATTACTAAAATATCCCACCTTTTACTCATCTATTTTTTGCAAGATACTGTGAAGTACAAACTACATTTTCCATAATATCTAAAAGAAAATGAAGCACTTCTCACAAACAAACCAAACCAATTATAGTGCATTTTACACTAAATCCCTCGCAACTCTAAGAAGACCGGGGCAGCCCTGACAAGCTTTCAGAAAAAGCCCTAAAGTTGTGTAGGGAGTTCGGATAAAGAGTAAAATTTGACCAGTTTTCTAAACTGAAGACACAAGAGGAGAAATGTTGGATTGTTAGAATATGTCAAAATACTTTCACTTTTGCTTAAGTACATTTAGAAGCAGTTACTTTTGTACCTTAACTTAAGTAAACACATAAATAGAGCACTTTTACTTGAGAAATACATAAGAGGATCTCTACTTTCAGCATGGGTACTAGATTTGTGTACTTTATCCTCCACTGTATAAACGTCATAAGTGCATCTCAGGGGAAATATATATATGCAAGGAAAATGTGGGACATGTGTTCTTTGAAGTTCTTGAGGACTTCAAAATGTTTAGGGGTCTTCCATTCTAATCTTCACAGCTGTCATCATTGAAACATTAACCACTTTCCATTAGGTCTCCGCTTTTATTTTTAGTTTCAGGACTAGATGTGATTGGTGGACCAAAAAAGAGTCTTCAAAACAAACACAATATCACAACACAACATGCCTTCAAAAGCGGGGCTGCAGTTTGGCAGGCCTGTTCTGCATCTGTTCCCCTTTGTACACAGTAACCTTGCAGGCTGGGGATGAAGTTGGGCGTGTTCAGAGCCTCTGCAGTAGGGAGATTCCTGTGTGTGCAGACTGAGCATGTCTGTTTCAGTGCCTTCTCCTCACTAAAAACAGAAACAGCACAGCCAAATGTGAGCCACACTCAGCACTGCACTGGTGGGGGAGGGTTGACGATTAAAGTGACACAACATAAAATTAACACAGAAAGCACAAAAAGTAAATAATAGAGATTCTAGATGTTTTGCAATTTTGCAATGCTTTTTGGGCAAATACTAAATGAAAATTCCACAGATTTTTCTAATTTTCTACATAATTACCTTGTTTATCTGATTTAATGTGAAATGCAGTATTCTAGAGAAACTTGCCCAAATTGTTCACATTGGTGATGATAGGAACCAGACATCTGAAGCATATAACGCCTCTAAAACCTGATACCTGAGACATTGATTTACAATAGTTTTGAGAAGGTTCTTGCCTAAAACATATTTTTTTTAATAGCCTACATTGTTGCAGAAAGGTACATGCAAGGCATTCTAGGATAAAATAATAATTTTTACCACTGTTATCATTATTAATATTACATGTAAAAACTCAGAAGATGTGTAGGTTCACTGGTTGTTCTGGATAGTGAATAAAAAGGCTATATCTGCATAGTAGACATTGTGACTCCTGGTTCCTGTCACCACCACTGTAAGCAAATCCAAGTTAATAAGTTTCTCTATAATAAACCATTTCACATCCATCCACTCTGAATGGCTTTTTTATGTTTTGATGACTGAGTTATGCAGATATTTTGAAAAATTGGTGGAATTCCCTTTTAATGTGAGCTGGAATGTAATGTAAGTGTAAGTAAAAATTCATGACAGCAAAACATTCTTTCATACAAAAACATTTCAGTGACTTTTTTTCCTGCAATAATTGTCCACATTTAGCCTCATTTACATTTACCTGTCAGTTTCACCAGTGGGTTCAGGTGTATGAGTAACTAAAACTGGGACTATAAACCACTGGAATAAAATCAAAGTGTGCATACAGGACTTTGCGAAAGTCTTAAGCACCTAAGCAAGTTGTTTAAAACCATTTTTCTCAGCAGTAAGTGAGCTTTGCCATATAATATTTGCATGGCGAGCTTTTCTATGTAACGTTAATGCAGTGAAATGTAACAACCTCTTTTCAAGAAAGTAGTCTTTTTTTAGTTAGAAGAACAGTTTGTTTCCAGATTTCTCCTCTATGCTCCCAGACATCGCATGGATTTGTTTGAATCCTCCACCATCTGCACAGCTGTTTAATTTAATGAAGCCCTGACAGGATAAACCAGGTACTGGATGGTACTTATAAGTAATACTACACATCTTTGAGGAGAGGCTTGGAAATGGTCAAACAAACACAGTTTTTGTGAGCATGGTTGAATACACTAATAACCCATGCTTTGAAGATTGAGACAGAAATTTGAAAAATGGGATGTCCTTCAGGAAGTGTGGTCAAACCATTGCAAAAACTTATGAGCACACTTGCTTGTGCAATAGAACAACTGTGCTGAACCAGATGGAAAATTACACTCAGCTCTCTGTGGCAGAACAGGATAACTTAGTGCATATGGGTTTGTTTCTGGTTCAGCGTTACTTGTCTTCAGTTGACATCTGTCCTGCCTTATCTTTCCAAACAGGTTGGTTGTTACACAAGCAGCATTAGCCATGAGTGTCCCTTCTTAGCTAGCTAGCAGAGCTAATCAGACTGGAGCCTGTTTAATCCTAATCTCTCTGTTCAGAGGCAGCCTGACTGTATCAGCCTGAGGATCATAGGACACAAAAAACAGCTAATTTGGGTAGGCAAGTCCCAACATTATCAAAACAATAAATAAGCAATAAAGAGCCTTGAATGCTAATATTTATGGTAGGTTTGAAGGTAGTGCTCATGAAGTGGAATGACAAAGTAAGTATGATGCATTGAAACGCTTTATTATTTTAGGGCTTTTTCCTTTCCTGTTAACCTCTTAAACTGTAGGAGTCTGCATGTGGGCGCACACTTCAGCTCCTAATTCCTGCAGTTAATGAATAATAAGTCTTCAGATTAACAACTGAGTAATACATCTAGGGTTCAAGTGACCTTTCAGACCACTGTTTTTTCAGCAAAAGTAATTAGGAGTGTAAATTTCTGGGAGGTAATAAATTAATAGAACACTCTTGGCTCCAACTTTGAATGCCTTTTTAAAAGGAACTGCCTATTATATTTGCAGGGAGTGTGCTGGAATACTCTGTAGTGTTTGTATTGAGTTTAAAGGCTATATTGCATGCACAGACTACTTCAAGACACGCCTCAAGACAGCCTAAAAAAAGGCCTAGACATTGACTGAAATTTGCTACCATTCACATGAATGTAGGACAACAAGCCAGAACAGGCCAATCAGGTTCTCATCAGCAAAGAGCATTGAGTTCAGTGCAAACTGCCGGATAGTTGATTATTAACATGAATTAATCAACTAATAATTAGTTGTCAATTAACAATAAAATGCAATTGTTCTGACAAAATGTGAAACTGTTCATCAAGAGCTAAATTACCACCACAGAAAAAATGTGGTGCTTCATTTAAGCCTGCCAACAATTTTGAGCTACAGTAGGTAATTAGCAATAGCTAAAAAAAAATGACATAGTAATAAAAATGTAGATTAAAGTTATAGCTCTTTAGACTTTAGCATCATTTAACAGGTTTAACATTTTAATGAACGAACAATGAATTCAAAATTTTAATGAACAGGTTTTCAAGACAAACAGATGGAACTACATTTACAAAATAATTCACCAGTTATGTGTAGTCAGTCAGCTAATGTATGTAATGCTGTGACAGTAGTTCAAAAGCGTTTTTTAAGTAAGGCTGCTGAATACTTCTACTTAACAGAAACTGACACAACAGGTGGAGAACGCCAGTTCTGGAGGGCCAGATTCCTGCACAGTTTGGTAATTTTCTTGCTCAAGCAAACTTAATTCAACTCATCAGTTAATTAGCAGGTTTGGTTGTTGTGCTAGAGCTGGGAAATTGACAAACTCTGCTGGACTCTGGCCCTCAGTTCCCCACCCCTGGCTTAGAAAATTCCAATGACTCACATTAGTAATATAACAATGAGCTTTAGTGATGCTTGTAAGGGTAACATTAGCTCATTCTGACAAAATCACTTACAGTGAGATTACAGAGAACAGTAGTACTTCAGTTTGTAGTTTGGTTTGTCAGAACACCAGTATGGAGAGAAAGCTAATGTTTACTGACTGCTCTTGGTCTGCTGCTTCAGAATAAACACCAGCAGTTTTATTAAAGATCCCTTCAAAGCAAATGCGGACACTTTATGGACGCTTTTGCTGTAGGACAGGTTAAAATTTTTGAAAATTCTTCTACAAACCATACTTTGGTAATGACTGCAATCTGTAAAGACATGCACACAGAAAGAAAAATCCAACTGCCAACTGAAAACTAAAAAAGTGTGAAAGAAGGCTACATTTGTGTATGAGATAAGGTATAAGAAAAAACAGCAGGAAACACACAGCTATAGGCTGCAGACTTTTATTCAATAGCAAACGATATGATGACAAAGTGCACACAGTAACAAAGTGGTCAAACCACATGGAAATAATGTCTCTTTTTTGGCTTTTATGAAATTGTTTTGGTCGTCATTAACAAGTAACGTCAGAAACTTAACAACATAAGCAGCCTGATTCTACTAAAGTAAAAAAAGAAAGCAAGAATGAAAGGAAAAGGATGGAGCCTCCGTCGCCTGCGTCTACTCCTGGGACTCTCAGTTGGGATGAGGGGTGTGATTTTACAAGTGGGCAGGGTTTATGAGGCAGGGGGACTGGTAGGCTCTGGCTTGCCGGAGTCACTGCTCTCGCTTAGCTGCCTCTTCATCACCATCTCCTTTGCAATGCAGGTCACCTGGCCGTTAGTCACTGTGTAGGTTCCAGTCCTGCCATTCCAATGACATGACAACAAGTTAGGAAGAAGTTCAAGTAAGTAAGTAAGGGTGTCAGAAGTGGGAATAGAGGGAAAAGAAACTGTTCACTGACTAAGCATGTAAAAAAGCATCCATGCATTGTGAGACATCAATCTGAAGGAGGAGGCATTGATTTTAGCATGTTAGACTATTATAATTATAACTGATTATAATAATATTCAGTGATGTGTATTTTGTGTATTTAAAATCACAAAAATGTTCCACTACAAACTGTGCAAAAAGTTACTGTTACAAAAAAGAACTTGAACTGAATGACTGGGGAGCATCAAAAATTCATGCAATTGAAAAAACTTTTTCAATGACTTTGGTTCAAAATTGATATTCACTTGACCAACTAAAATTTTTTGACTCACTTCTGTTGGGCGTCGAATCCATTAGGAGCTCCCATCTGATTCTGCTTCCCAAAAAAGAAAGTGGACCACCAGTGGCCTGAGTCTTGCCTCGGTAGAGCTATAATGGCACCAATTATGTGGATAAGGCAGAGGTTGTGTGTGGTTGGAAGTTTTTTTAATTATTATAGAATTGAATTAAATCTTAAATACTAATAAATAAATTAATGTGCTTCACTTCATACCTGGGTGGTGAGGAATGACTTCCCCAGTGTACTCCGAACTGCCACAGGAACTGTTGCTGGATGTGGATCCTATGCGCCCTGGAACATTCACATTGACAAGTTAAAAGGAATAACCTCAACCTCAAGACAAGGCAGGTATAAGCCAGGTATGTGAAAAAGAGAGAAAAAAAAGAAGTCTGTTGTTCTTGTTTAATCTAAGGACAACATACAATCTAGTAATATCTATTTGTGAAGAATTGACAAACTCACTTCGGTAGTAGTCGTGGGTGGCAACGAGGGAGCCGCTGGATGGAATTGCCGCCATTTTCCCAACCTTCAAGTCAACCGTCGAAAAGATGGAATCCCTATACAAGGCGAGAATGGTTTCAGTTGACTGGAGTGGATGCATTAATCGCATGCTCACTCAACGTCAATAATCACCGAAACTGAACATTCTTTCTATATTGATGAAATGATTGCTGCTAATACCAGATTCAGAAAAGCATTGAACTTTGAGTGACTGCTTCTCAAGCACTTTAGGTTTAGGTGTTGATGTGCACCTTTTACTCGCTAGACGAGGAGAAGAAGACATCTAGCCATTCATAACAGCAAAAGCAGTTACGTAGAATGTGGAAAAAATTGGACACGTATCCTCTAGAGTAAAGAACAGGGTTCTTTTTAAATCAGGTGTAACACAGACCTGCCAAAAAAGTCTTCTGTTTTCTTCAGGGTTCAAAATACTACTCAAAAGTGAGCATTAGAAAACAATTACAGATAACAATTGAAATCAAATTTGTGAGAAGATTTCTCCCATGTTGCCCAGTCCTACTACTGCATGACACTGGCAGTGCAGCATGACTCAGAAAGCATCCCAAGAAGGCAGACGTCCAACAAATGCCTGCACTATTTTCAGTCTAACCCTCAACTTGGTTTGAGTACACCTTTAATGGGAAAATGTCAGCAAGGGTGTACTTGCATCAAGTATCATCATCTCATCTGAAACATAATAATGTTCACTCCATGCATTTTTGCAAAAAAGCAGATGTACAAAACACTTTTAAACATTTATTTCAAGTGCCCCCAGAATATCTTATGTACATTATGAATCATTCCCAGAAAGATAACCATGCTGATAACATGGAACATGGTTTAAAAAAAAATAAATAAATAAATAAAAAAAATAAAAGTTCTACTCAGAACCTGCAAGGCTGTTACTTCCCACTGGCCTTCATTGCAGGAAAATGCCTTCCCTGGATCTGAGTTCAATGACATATGCCGACAGCTGCAGGCAGCAGAGTTTGGGTTTCCATGTCCAGCTATCCACTAAGCTGAACAGTCCAGGAAGTCCAACAACCAGGCTGTTGCACGCGTACATGTGTAAGCTCACATTGCATGGCGCTCTGCCATGTAGCCAGCATGTGCTCAGTGCATGCCCATGCCAGTGTACTCTTTTTAGGACACGTAAGATGGCACCTCTGAGTGCTAACATTAAGCCCTGCGTGGATTTCAGCCGTTTAAGCACAGACCTTTTAGACTTACTAGACTAGACTAGACTAGACTACACAAGTTGTCTACTTATTAGAGTGATGAAATAAGGGCCCATATGTGAGGGCTCAAGGTTTAAGGGTTTAACTGCTAGAACAGCCTTGTTAGTCCATTCAAATGTGGTCTTCACAGATTTGAAAATGTTCAGTAAAGAGCCATTAAAAATTATTAAAGTTCATAAAGATTTGTCTACGTCTGTCATTCTCAACTTCAGTCTTGGGAAATAAATGCCTTGCACGGTTTCAATTATTCCTTGCCCCAAAACACCTGATCGAGCTCATCACGACCTTCAAGAGCTAGTTAAGGTGTATACTTGAATCTATGCAGGGCAAGATGTCCTCAGGACTGCAGCTGAGAACCACTGGTCTACACCTATACCCCAGCTTCTCATCACAATGTGAAGATCATTGTCTTATTCAAGAACAGAGAGGAAGAGCTATTAAAAAACAGATGTCTGAAACCATAAGACAATATGCAGAGGCAAGAAACTAACATATGGTTAGGGAATGCATAACGTAAGTGCACTACCACTAGAGCTGGGAAATACGACAATATTTATCATTATTGTGATAAATTACACCACAGTATGTCACAATATGCTTTTCTGAGTATATCATGGATATCATGAGGACTTAAAAAACACTTCCCAACTTCACGTTTGATTACAAAATGAGCACAATTAGTTCTGTTTAATTGGATTTAATGTAAAAGATATATATTTAATAGCATATTGTGTATGCTCTTAAAGTATTGTGATATTACTTTTTTCCCCCCATATCACCCACCTCTTACCACCACCATTCAAAACTTTCAAGAACAACACATCATGTTTGTTCCTACACTTGCATGATAAGGAAACCTGCAATGAGGCAAAAGGATTTCTATAATAAGTGATTGGCTCAGTCAAGAACCATCTTTCAACCATCTCTTGAAGAATAGTGATAGAATTGTACTTTTACGGCTTTAACTTTACTTTTTTCACTCACTAATTTACTTAAGTGGGCTGTTTTTCTTACGGCTTACAGCCATCATGTAGCGATAAGCACCTGGAGATACTCCTGTTCCAGGTGAGGTAGAGGATTTAGCCTGACCCAGTTAATACCCGTCTGTGCTACATAGAGTGAGTAAGAAATCCCAAGGATAAACCAGTCACACCACCGGGTTATGTAAACAGTCCTGCAGAGTGACTTTGCTTCAAACAGCAAAAATATAAGCATGCATTTTTATTTTGGAGGCAAAAAAAAAAAAAATGCCAAGATGCAATGAGAGCAAGCCAAGGCAAAGAGAACAAAGACTGACAAAGTATCAGCCGTTCTGAGTCATCTCGAGGCTTACCTCAAGTTCACAACAACCCAGTGGTGGATGAGGAAACTGGCCTTGGTATTCTTTGGGGAATAACGATATTCATACTACGAATGAACACTGAGGAGAAGAAAAGCATCTCTTAAGTTTCTGCTTTTTCACCAGTTGCAAGATAAAATGGAGTTTGGACTGTTTAGCCTTGTTCTAAACCCAGACCTACTGAGTGTGACAGTGAGCAACTCTGTTCCTTTTCTCACCTTTAATATGTGGAGCTGCCGATGTTCAGATCGCAGCGATGTAATCACGACTGGTCGCCGATGTGTGGTGGAGTAAACGCTAGGCGACGGAGCCCATTTGTGTTGTGGTTTTAGGGTAGAACCCTCCAAAGTCCTCCTGCTGCCTCTGCACCTCTTTCTGAAGTCCAGCTCAACCTCCAGAGCTTTTGTCCTCCGCGGTGACCTCAGCAGAAAGATCCTCCCGGAGGCGTGGCCTCCACAGCAGTCAGGTGGTCAGCTGGTATGCTCACTTCTCTTTACAGTTACACAGAAACAGATGGAAGAAATGTTACCGTACTCTGCAACGAAATGTTATTAGCCAAGTGCTACTTTCCAGGATGACTGTTGTGGCCGAAGGTGGTTTCTCCGTAGTGATAGCTTTACTAGCAGGGCAACATTAACAGCAGCGAGCCATATCGTGAGTATTATGAGAGGCTGAAAAGTTCCTCGTGGAGTCCTCAATAAAGGACTATAAAATGAACGTATTAGTTCAGACACGTTCCCAACTGTGGTCCTGGATGACATGCAGTTATTGTTTTCCCTGCAGATTCACATGAGCTCAAGTAGGGGTTGTTAATTAGCTGACTAGCTGTATCACAAGCGTCGGAGCAAAGGAAAATAAAAATAGATGTACATTATAGACGTGAAATGCTATCTGAAAACGGGTTCATCCGTTTATCAGCTTCCCTGGTGGTCTAGTGGTTAGGATTCGGCGCTCTCACCGCCGCGGCCCGGGTTCGATTCCCGGTCAGGGAACAAGCAAACATTTTCATTTCTTGTCTTTGATATAATGTTTATGTGCAGCTCTGAGGAGAATTGACATAAATCCTAACAACTTCTGTATACAACAATATTTTGACGACATTCTTAAGAGCAACAGTAGCAAACTATCACTCTGAACTGTACAGGCTTTGAGATGAGCGGTTTAATGTTTTCTGACGCCATCTAGTGTTTGAAAAACCTCCTCTGACAGACACAGGCCAAGAGATTCATCTCATCTGCAGCCAACAGCCTATGGCCATGAGGATTGAGCCCCATTATCATGTTTGGAATAATCACAGCTATGAAATATAGTATTATAAGATTTTCACAGTTACAATAATCTAATTACATGATGATTGCAAGCATTAGGATATGAGTTAAAACAAGAAGAACCAACGCCAACATTTTCACCTCTACCTTTATTTAAGCATTTCGGTAACAATCTGAAATACCCTAAAACCTTAATATGGTACAGCTTCAGAGCCTCAAGCACAGATACAGCAGTCAGGTTCATGAAAGGTTACAATCTTAGGTTTAATCATTATCATTGTTTCAAAGTGTGCAATTCACATACAAGCAGCTAATATTGCAAAAGAACTGTGAAAAGATTTATATTTTAGTTCAACTTTCCACACCAAAAAAACAAGTGTGCGAGTTCAGCGTCCCTAATCACATTAGACCAACTCACTGTCTGTCTGCTATTAACCTTTTTTAAAATCACAGCTCAATGTCTCAACTTGGTAAACTAAGCCCTTGTATTAAAGTTGAAAACTACCCTTACCAGTCTCACCAGGATGAATAAAACAAGAAGAAAAAAAAAGAAAACAACCAAATACCAAAAGTATATACACAATTAACAGAATCCTTCAGTGCACCAGAAAACAAGATGCATATATAAACATAGCATTTATGCTTAGAGTAACAGATTAAAAATATGTGGCCGGTCAGTGTAAGGAGGGCTAAGGCTAAGTGAAGTGTAGGTTCCGAATAAGCAAAACAATTCCAATTTCAATCAGGAAGGGTTTACCTTGTATACTGCCAAGCAGTGAAAACGGTTATAAAGTACGCGTTAGGTGAGTCACATTGTACTGTAAGTAGTAGCACCTTTTGCCCTGAGTAATAAGCATTTAATAAGCAGTATAATAAGAATGTAACAATCATATGCGACAGCAGCGCCTTATACTGCCAAGGAAGCGTTTGTTTGTTTGTTTTCTACAGTGTGTACAGGAGAGTTTATGATACTCCGAACTGTCATGCTGCTTCTACATGAGTGAACTGCATCAAATGACTACATTCACTGCTAACATCACAGCAGACCTGATTTCAAAAACCTTTTTACACATTCAAAATACAAATTAGTGCACAGAACATTTTCTCTGAACCATCTGCAAAACATTTGTTCCAAAAAAGCTGCGGCCCCTTATGCATTGCCACTGTCCGTTTGAGAGGTTGGGGCGAGAGTTTAATACATACACACAAGGCTTTTAAAGGCTTGTCTTCTAAACAAGTAGCAGTAGTACAGCATTCTGGGACCTCAGTACAGTCCTTATTTGTTCATTCGTGGGCATCTCTTATCTCTCAGTGGAGTGCAGTGAGGGACACAGGGTTGTATGGGTCACAGAGGTCAGTCCTGGTGATGCGTTTGTGCTTTCCACTCAGAAGGCTGAGTTGTTGCCAGGCGGGGGGTGTTCATCATCACCGTTTGCTCCACTTCCGATTACCTTGGACTTTGAAGAACAAACCATATGAAGGTGTGATCATCTATTCACATTTGTACTGACCACATAAACAATATACAGGGAACAGCAGTGAAATTCTAATAGAACCATTTACAAGCTTTCTAATTATATATATGTTGTCACTGGTGGAACAAAACCTTGTATCTCCAAACAGCAACTTTACAGAAGAAGAAGAAAAAGTAGTGATGCATCAAAATGAGAATTCTTGCCCAAAACAGAAACCAAAATTCAGGACACACTCACATGAAAAGAAAGGTTCTTTTACAGACCATTCTACTGACTTGGTCAGAAGTCAGACATTTTGCACTTTTAACTGACCTGGATATTCAGCTAGGAGTGATCTTATGTCTTTATTATATTATTACTGCACTACAAATGCAGTAATAATCCCTCCTAAACTTTATAAAATGCTTCAGTAGTAACAACTTTAGTTAATTTTGACAGTTGTACACACATAAAATTATAATATTTTTATTAAAACACAAACACTTGACCATTCTTACCGTTACACACTGATTTTCAGACATGGGGACAATTTTCTTCAAAACAATGGGATGTAACTGCTCACCATGTGGCCGTGAGGGACAGGGATGCAGTGGCATGCTCTAAAATGTTGGGTGGGGTTGGGACCACAGTCTGAACTAATTCAGCAGAATGGCACATATATATTCCAGTGCACCCCTGCTTTAATGATGGAAATATCCTATTTTTAATATGTAAAGCAGGTGAATGTGGTTTTGGAACTCCCAACTAGTCAGAAATTTCACCAGCAGAGGTGCACTGTGAGCACATGAAGGAAACAAATAGCATTTTAAATTACTATTTCTCTTTTTTATTACCATTCAAAATTATTTATTCAGTGTTTGACACTTTATTGTAAACCTATTTAATCCTTTGCTTTTTGTCCAAACATTTTGCCATTTTTGACCATTCTTTGGCAGAAACTGCCAAAAAAAAGTGGTAAAAATTTCAGCGCATCTCTAATACAAATATTCTTAACTTTTAATGTAAGTTAATCAAACAAGATTTTATGTGGTCATTTTGGGCTGTTTCTAAAAAATAATGGAGATATAGTTTTTTTTCTGACAGTGACAATATGCAAATATTTCATAATATGTAGGAAAATACGTATCTCCTTTCATGCTTACCATTTTATCCTCAAAGGATTTGAAGGTTGACGAGTTCCTAAGAGAAACAAATAAATGTCAAAACTCTTGAAACAAAGTAAATTAATAAACTTGCCTTGTGTCTTAAATGTGTTCTGATTTAAAATAGTTTTGCAAACTAGAATAACACAAATAAAACACAGACACAGCAAAGAAACTCACTAAGCACTTTTGAGGTGAATTACAGAAAGCACTTGTACTGCAAAGATTATCAATACTCCTCACTCAAACACATTAATGAACTCAATTGAGAGGTTGTTTCACAAAGCTGGATTTCTCAGTAAACTGAATACGCCAAAGATGAGGACTTTAACACCCCCCAGGTGTGTTACAGAAAAGAAACACACTGGGTGGGGCAGGAGTCACTTCGGAACAAGCCTCAAAACCAACCCATGACATGGAAACAGGTGGAAGAAAGAGAAAGAGAGCAGGCACAGTCCTGGTGTGTCTGGTACCTTACCTTATAGCGGGCATACTTAAGGAGTGGCGCATGGAGTAGTTGTTACTTCAGACAGCAGTGAGAACACAGAAGCAGAAGAGTTAGAGCAAGCAAACAGCCAAGCGAAGAGCAAAGCACAAAGATCAAACAAACACTGTATGGCTGCTATCAAAAAAAATAATAATAATAATTATATCCAAAATAGTAAATAGTTTTCCAGCCCCAGATTAATCCTAAACATAAGAGTTAGGGCCAGTTTCCCAAACCAGATTAAGCCTAATTTCAGAATAAAAAGAATTTCCAGTAGAGAGTCACCACTAGCACTGTAATTTAGTCAGAGACAATGCTTAAAGCATATCCAGAAAATCTGCCCATAAGGCTTTTCAGTGCTGAATCAATATTGCTTTGGCACTGGAGTTTGGCCAGAGACAAGGCTTAATCTATATCCGGAAAACCAGCCCATAAAGTTCTTCAGCTGCCTAATCACTATTGCATTAGCACTGCAATTTAGTTCAAGACTAGACTTAATCTGCATCCAGGAAATTAACCCACAGGAAAGTTAAAATTGAGATTGATTAAGAAACAGGAATTACAGGCATGTAATTAACCCATTCATTATTGTACACAGTACAGTGAAATATATAAGTAAAATACAAATGCAGATTTATTGCGGTTCCTCAATAAGTTCTTACCCAGGTGAGTTATTGTAAGTCAAAGCCCTGAGCAGCCCAATGCAGCGATAAAGAAAGCAAATACAACCATTAACAAAGAAGTCTTTCATCAAACAAAAGGCAACACTTAAGTCAAAGCTAAGAAGTTGAAGTTGGAGCAAATATTTGTATGAAGAGTCAAAGAGGTTGCGTGGAAAGCTGACGTAATGCTGTTTAAGAGCCAGGAAAATACAGCATTGGAAAACAGAAACGCAAGCCAATCATAATCTACACTTGATAAGGAGTGTTCCATTGCACCTAGTCCAAAACTAGGTAAGGTCAGAGTACCCCCAAAACTGGCTGTTTTAATGCGTCGGAAATACTGATCTCCAAAACTCACTCCAAAGATTTCGCTATGCACTTGTGCAAAAGTAGGATTTTAGGTAAACAATATCAGCAACAAAACATTACGTCTGAGCTGGTCTCGCTGAAAAGATTGCTGGAAAACACATCAACTGAATAAGAGAGAACAGTATTGATGCTACACTATGTACGTTTTGGGATTTTGGAACATCAGTGGTGGTTATTTTCTTAGTAATGCCACTTCTTTCAATTTTAACAAAAACAATTTTATGTAGTGCAGCTTTAAGGGCCTAAAACATGTAATGAGAGAGGAAAAAAGGGTCATGTGGAAAGAAAGACAGAAAAGAGGATGGAACAAAATGAGAAGAAATTGAAAGTGAACCTCATTTCTCCAAATCTGTTTCTGATAGCTGAACCCATTGTGGACAAAGCTGATGATGTCAGCTGACCAGCCTGGGAAAGAGTCTCCTGAGTCTTCTTATACCTGTAGATTCAGAGAGGAGACAGATTAAGAGAGAACTGCGTCATTCATCACTTGCTGAGTATGCAGATATGTGGTTAAATGTTAGCTGTTTCGAATTGCAGCATGTATAAATACAAATAACTACTTGGTGAACCAGAGAAGCAACCCAGACTGAAATTACATCAGCCATGTGACAAATGTAAAGGCTAAACAAGCTTTTTTGGCAAAAGACTTCAAGATCCTGCTCAGGGTTAAAGGGAAATTCCAGTACATGTTTAATTTTTACATAATTTAATCATTAACATGTACACAAAGTCAATCAGAGTGCTTTAATGAGAAATGCTTTATTCCAAAACAGGGGCGAGGAACTCTGGTCCTGGAGGGCCACAGTTTGGTGATTTTCCTGCTCAAACACACCTGATTCAACTCACCAGCTAATTGCTTGGTTTAGCCGGTGTGCTAGAGCAGGGAAATCAACAAAAAATGCTGAACTATGGACCACAGTTAGAGAAACTTACAAAGTCAAATTTACTCATAGAGGTGGCAATAGGAACAAGAAATCTGAAGCATTTACTGCCTTTAAAAGCTACTTCACAGAATGTTATGACATAAAATGGTTACGAATATGTTGCCTGATGAGACACTGTTTTACAATAGTTGTAAAATAAGGTTTTGGCCTAAAACATATTTTATATATTTTAAAAATCTATTTACAGTGGAGACAAACAGGGCTAAAACTTTTTTCCCCCAGATATGCCACTTTTTTACTATTATCTGTATGCATATAAAAACTCTGAAAACATGTGTATGTTTACTAGTCATTTGGGATAATAAACAAAATGGCTACATTTGTGTTGCAGATATTGTGATCCCTGGTTCTCCACCACTGTAAAAAAAACCCGAGTCTCAATGACTGTATTATGCAGAAATGTCTGAACAATCGGAGGAATTAACAGTGAGCCTTTGGTGTGGGGATACTTAGTTTTAAGGACAAGATAGTAGGCTTAGGATTATGAGTTTAAATCAGTACTTAAGTAGACATTTCATTTACAACAATTTTTATTCTTTTTAGAAAGAACAAAAGAGCAAGCAGGAAAAAAACAAAAAAGCAGAGGGACTGCATACTGCAACAAAGGGAACCAAATATAAAGAGACATTCAAGAAAATCCCAGGCAAAATGACAGAATCCTGTACCTTGGCATAGAAACTGGCACAGTTATTAGTCTTTCTTATTAAAATATATGTAATGATATCAATTTCATAGTCAAGGATAAGTATTATTCAAACTGTGAGAAATCTTTGTTGAAGACTTGCACAAAAAAAACCCTTGGTAAATGCTTACGCAGTGAAAGCAGCATATTGCTGCTGACACGTGAGCACCTGTTTCTCTGGCATGATCGCAGGCAAAGCAGGGAGCAGGTGCTGAGGATTCACTCACACAGACTCACAAACACGTAGGTGCACATGCGAAGCAACAATTGACACAGACTTGGTCTTGCTTTCTCTCACAAACATGCCCTGCACAATGACCTTACCCATGGCTAAGACGCTATAATCAGAAGCCATTGAGCCAATTTAACCTCTCAATCCCATCAGCTTTTTCCCTGGCCTGCTCACTCTAAACACATCTGAGTCATGGACAAACAGTCCAGCTTTCACATCAACCCAACACCACCATACCACCACACTTCCACAAGACCTCCACTGCATTTAGTGCTGAAAGATTAATCGTTTTTATTTGGAAATCACAATTTAACTGCACTCCATTCACACACTTCAACCACCCACTATCTCCTCACAAAAACCCCAAAAAATCAACCTCTTAAAACTTTTTTGGAACATTAAACCCTCAAATTTCTAAACTTAAACATTCCTAATGAAATGTATTTTACATATTAATTAGGAATGCACAATAATATCAGAATCGTATTGATATTGGCAGATAATTGCCTAACAAATATTCTGATGATGTCCTCTACAAGAGCAGAATATTTAGTCGACACTAGGTTCTGTGCTATAACATCCACGTTATTTATTTTGTATTGACATGTATCGGCAGATATGTACATTACTCGATCACCTTGTCTGCATTATTGAAAAGTAAATAAGGAGAAAATTTACATTAGGAATGCAGATATGGGGCCTTTGCTATTCTACTAGCAATCTGTATTTAGCTGTAATATGATTAGTTACAGGTTTAAAATCATCTCCCTTAATGTATAAAAATAAAAGACTTCACATAAATATCATACTTCAAACTACACATTTGTTTTTACTGAATCCAACATCTTTGCAGATTCCACGTTAGTACGTCAGCGGATCATAATTAGAACACTGTTAGAATAGGGGGTCATAACATACTCTAACAGATTAACGCAGCATGTGAGTGTATGCCTTATAAAAAGCCTTGTTACAAAACCAAAACCTTTCAACTCCGTTTTCTTCCAATCATTGTTCTAGTTAGAAGTGTTATTATCTTAATCCTTTACAAAAGCTCCTGAAAGCTTGACATAAAAAACATTTGTAACAAAACACAACAAATGAATCAAACTCACGCGTCAGAACGGCTAATGTCCTCCAGAGTGGCAGAAGCTGTAAGATAACTACACAGACACACAGTTTCACATTATCATTACAAGAGACTTCAAGTTCACCATTTTTAAGCCATTTAATTTTTACAAATGTAATCAACTGTACATGCTGTGAGGGCATGATGTATATCTTTAGTTTCTAATGTGCATTTTATCAGAAAAGATTAAACAGACCTAAAGTAAATGGCCTACAGTAAATGGTCTACAACGGTGTGAAGAAACCCTTATAATTATTAGAAGCCTACAATATACAATTGCATAGTTACAGGCTTAATGTAGTTGGCTACAGGGATAGTTGGATATGTGTTGGATGTAGGTGCGCACAGCATTTCATGCGCATAACATTTCAGATGTGTCCAACCCTCAAAGTTGACAGACTTCTAAAACAGGTTTGACTTCTCTTTCCTGCCTGATCTGTACTGTGAAAAAATGTGTTCTAGCCATAGTAAATCTACTGTTAACAGCCAAAACCTTTAAGACACTTTCAGCTCTTCTAACTGAGGATTTCATTACTGAATGAAAACAAACAGCACAGAGGAGCTAAAAAATCTCCAACATCTGTTCACTGAAAAGATTCTACAATGTTCCAGCTGCTAAATAAAGCACCAGCACAGGTGTCTCTTAAAAACCAAGAGGGGTCCGACGGAAAACAAAACCACTAAACTCAAAATTATAGTGAAAATCTAAAGCAAAGGTTTCATTTCTCTGAAACAGCCAAAACTTGATTCTCAATTATAGTGCAAAAAAAGTATATAAGGGCACATTACCACTGTTTAAAGAGAACAGACAAAATAATAGAAAAATCAGGAGAGATCAAGTCTCTAGAATATCCTTGCTTCTCTTGACATTTAAGACATTGTTGACTTCATTTTTGTGGCTGCCACACCTCTCAGCAACATAATGCTTCTTCTTATCTATACTTGCTTGGTGCTGTTATAAACTTTTAAAGTTTTAAAGCCTCTTTTGTAGCAGAAACCTTTATCAGTTGGTTTAATGTTACAAAGTTAATGTTTAATGTTACAAAGTCTCATATATACTGTATTTATGTATAATGTTTTTGTACTGTTTTAATCAATTCCCATTATTTTGTCAACCTCTTGTACAGGTTCCTGAAAGACCATCACAAAGCTTTAGAAGTTAGCCAGCTTCGGTTTTGGAACCAACATAAAGCACAGTTTATGGTATTTGATTCTATTCTCAAATGGACAATATATAGTAATAAGTGGCCAATTCCAGTTAGGTGGTGAAAATTCATATGATAAGGAAGCCGGACAACTCCTTGGCGCCTTTCGTCACAAACTGTTTTGGGAAAAGGCAATTAAGAAAAAGAGAAAGTGAACTGACACACAGATGAGACAGATGACATGAATGGCAGCACATTCACAGCTAGCAGACAGAAACGTTATCAGACAAGAATGAGAAGAAAATGAGAGAAAACTCACAAGTTAGATGACGCAACTCTATGATTCAAGTCCCCAAGAGTCTGAGAGGTTCTCATATAACTAGAGGCAGAAATGTAGTGAAAGGAAAAATATATTGAGAAAAGTCTAGCTTCTAAGCCCCTCTAACACAAGATTGATAGAAGACCAATAATGGTGAAGGAGAAAGATATGATCATGACAAGAGTGATTTCATTCATACAAAAGCCAAATGGCAAAAAAGTGTCCCATAGTAATGAAATAATAGATAAAACATGCACACCAGAAATCAGAAATGAAAGTGGTTCACATGGCCCGAGTGTAAGACATTTCAGGGAGATAAGACACGAAAAAGATGTGAGGGATGTCAGTTGCTTTAACAGGCAGAAGGTACTCACGCATTGGAGGACTGGACTTCATGCCAGCCTTTGGTGATGTTGTTTTTTATCTCTGAAAGAGGGCTTATACCCAGTCTCCTCCTCAATTCCCCAGCATGCCTCTCTTTTGCGGTCAAAACCTGCTTCAGCGTCTGAATTTCATCATCCACCTGGAAAGGGCAAACACACAACATGAGAAGGCGATTATTGGGACCTGAACTAGAACACTGTACACTGGCTTGTCATTCTTGGCAACTCAGTGTTGAAGCAGAATGGTTTTCCAGTACCTTTGTAAGCTCCAGTTGCAACTCCAGAGCCTCCTCCTCAGTCAGGCCTGGTGGCAGAGTTCCACCTCTGGCCTCATCCATCATGGAGCCTACACCCAAACCAATAAAACAGCAATTCAGGTTACATGTCTTAGAATGGAAGGCATTCCATAAAGCAATATTTCTCAGCTGGCTGGATAACTTTAACCAAAAGGTGGAGTGACCCATAGGAAAGCCTCTCCTCTTACTGGAATACCGAATTGTGGCTTATATCTGGCTAACTGAGAAATCCTGCTTTGTGAAATAGCCCTACGGTAAATCCGCTAAAAACTGTTGTGAAAAAAGTGTTATTAAAGTTTACTGCAAGAACACTAGACATCCATGGTGATCACGATGACTGTTCAGACTTAAGGGACTGCTGTAACCGGCGTGGTGCCAATTGAAATACTTCACATGTCCGTCTGGACCGCATCTGCACTGTCAACAGCTTTTATGCAACATTCTAATACAAGAGGGCTAACTTAGTTAGCTAACTTAGCTAACGACGTCAAACAAATGACTACAACGTTAGTTTCTGAGCAGTCTAAGCAGTGGACTACAGATACATAAGTTACTGACTGCCGAGAAAAGCTAAGCAAAGGCGAGCCTTGTCCTAACTTTATCCAAGCAGACCTTATGTCTGCTCTCAGACGCCGCGACTAACTTAAGCTAGCTAGCTAGCTAGCTAACTCACTAAGCTAGCTGACAGCTATCACAGCACATTAAGGCACCTGTTACTCCTCTATTCTGTCCCTAATCTCTTCAAACACCTTACCGCCGTTTGTTGAATCCATTCTGGCTCGTAAAATACGCCTTCTAAATATTCAGAGAGCGTATAAGGGGCTCGGAGGTTGGATATTGAGCTGAACCGCTGGTCTCCGCTCTGTTGACTTTCAGCGAGCAGCTTTGGGTTTAATTACCAGGGAGGCACGCGCTTCCGGAACATGACGATGACGTAGCAGTAATGCGTTTCTATTATAGATGTGGTAAACATTATTAATAAACTAATACAGTTCACAGTTTATTCATAAATTTAGATGTATATCGTTTTATTATAAACACTTACAATATAATTTCCGTTTTCTTGTTCCTGACACAAAAGCTAGGCTAAATCCAAAATTAATGTGTTTTGTTCACATGATGGGGACACAAATACGCATGCCTATCATCTAAACCGTTTATCCTTCTGGGTCGCTGGAGCCTATCCCAGCTGTCATTGGGCGGAAGGCAGGATACACCCTGGACAGGTCGCCAATCCATCGCAGGGCAGACAGACAGACAGACAGAGACACACACACACACACACACACACACACACACACACACACACACACACACACACACACACCCCTAGGGGCAATTAACCATGTCCAATTGGCCTGCCTGCATGTCTTTGGACTGTGGGAGGAAACCCACGCAGACGGAGAACATGCCCTGCATGCCTACTAATAGGTTAAAATGTGGTTCGTTCTTCTTCTTCTTCTTCTTCTTCTCAAAAATGTAATGTGCTGTTCTTTCTCTGAACAGTGTGGGAAAAAATTGTTCACAAATAGACAAATACTAACCCATCCAACATATCCATATGGGCCCCATGTGGGTTTATGATGGGCTAAATGATGGGCCCCAGTAAGGTGACCTATTTTGGACCCAACACATTTTCTCCTCAGTCTACACACAGGCCCCTTAAGCAGCCCATAGAGGGTAATGATGGGCATGAGATGGGTACAGTCAAGGACCATATTGAATGTCATAAGTTTGGTTTATGTGGGCCATTATTTTGGAGCCCAAGTGGGATTTATATGGGTGAAACATAAGCACAGACTGCGATCTTCATTAGCAAACTGGGCTGAGGATACCTAGGCCCCTTATGAGCATGATATAATAGGCCCTATTATGGTAGCCCATTTTGGACCCATCTCATTTTGTTCTGTTTCCATGTGGGCCCTTTGAGCAGCAGCCCACGTGGGTTAATGATGGGTGTAAGTGTGGGACCATAATGGGTAGCATATGTTGGGTTAATATGGGCCTTTTATTTGGAGCCCAAGTGGGTTTTATATGGGTTCAGCATGGGCAAAGACTGGGAACTTTACTGGCAAACCAGGCTGAGGATACCTATTGTATTCATTTTCCTTTAGACACTCCCCACAGTTTGCCAGTGATGAACAGCATGTTGCCTTGACAACCAGGCCCAACTTCAGATGACAGGGAGAGCATCACTCAGCTGAGAAATTAATGTAAATTATTGCTTTTTTTAGGGAGTTTAACGGATAATCTTGGGAATACTGCCTCCATGAGCACACTTGAACTATTCCTTCTTACTTGTCCTAAACGACTGTTAACCATTATATCGGCAGATCATTTACAGCAGCCACATGTCTCCCAAATCCGAACCTATTCTTCTGCAACAGACACAGGCTGAAGAAGTCCTAATATCAAGTCTATACAAACAATTCCCTCCAGTCCGTTTTTAACAAACCAATTCTCAGTTCACTGATGCAAACTATCCCAATTCTCTCCTTACATCATATGGGGGCTTGGGGTACAATCTGCATATAAAGCTACTTTTAAATCCTTAGGGACTTCAGTGTTTCACAGTCTATAAAACATCAACGGACGGCTATTACACTCAAACCAAGGGTAACACAAAACAGCAGGTAGGTTAACATTTGATTTTAAATCTAAGACTAGATTTTGGCTGCGTCCCAAACTGCAAACTACCACACTAAATAGAACACCACAAAACAGCACACCACCATCAGCAGTACATTCGTTAGTACTGTAAGCATGATATGGATAGTACAGTGTGTGGTTTTGGACGCAGCCTTTTTGAAAAGCCTATATGAAAAAGTGATGTTAATCAACTTTGATAGCAGGCTTAATAATAGTCCAAGTTTGAAACAGAGTAGGCTATTAAATATGGACCTAATCTAAAGATGTTATTGCTTAATCACTTATTTTTATATGCATCAATCTTTTGCTACTTGTTATGCGTTTTTCTTAGGTTTACCTCTCTGTCGGCGTGTTGCAGGAGTGATGAGGATAACTGCCCACTTTCTCATACACAGCGCCCTCCTCCTCTCTCGCTTATGGAGCGCTCACCCCGCCGCCGTTCACCGCAGCAGCAGCCTTAGTGCGATCCGCCCCGCGGAAGGTTATCACCGCAGCACGGCGATGGCGGACAGCGCCGATTCCTCCGCAGGGGAGCCGGGCTCGGCGTTCGTAACAGAGCTGAACACGTTTCGCTCCGGCACGGGGATGAAAAGCGCCGCAACCCGCGGAGGAGGAGTGGAGAGAGCGAAGAGGCTAACGGGCAACAAACCAACGTCGCTCGACCTGACTTTCCATATGCTAAGGGAACTGATGGAGACGTCCAGAGCGGAGAGGATGTCGCAGAAAGCGAAGATAAACAAGCATTTGCTCAAAGCTCTCGGAAAGAGATCCAGCCGGCTGTTTGTTTAGAGAAAACCTGGCAGCTGTAGAGCCGGTACGCTGTTCATGAGTGTCGTAAACTAGTGTTAACCGTTTACTCCTTTATTATCGTCTATGATGTCATGTAAAACTCATAACAGCAATAAAGTTAAAAGGTACCGTGGGATAAAGCCAAAGTCTCTGTTTTCCAGTTAAGATGTATAAGTTATAAAACGTTAGTTTAAAGAACAAACCAAAATGAAATGTTCATAAACATTTATTTTACACCAGCAAATCAGGTAAATGTTTTTTTTTTCTTTCAGACAGACAATAACCATGCTACAACATAAAGGTCTATTATTATACTTCATTATTCAGTGTATGTACATGAGACCTTAACCATTTAACTATGAGTAGCATAGTTTCATAGCCACATCCAAATTACATACCATCTGAAACAAGGACAAATCTTTAAAAACATGACAAAATAAGGTAATAAATTAAATAGAAAGAAAAATGCAATTTACCATTTCACTGTAATTACACACGTTTTTTTTCTTCTTTCTGAAGACTACAAGGAACTTTTTTCCTGGTCATGTTGCTCCATTGCATTCAACTAAAAACGTTGCATTTTCCAACATTTCAACGTAGAAGCCATAGTAGGCATATCAGTGTAAGTGTGGAAGGGAAAAAGGGGAAATGCACAGGAGAGGACCACAGAGGCAAACATCCATCAAAAAGCCATCAAGAGCAGAAGAACAAGAGGGGAAAAACACAGCGAGCAAGAGAGAGAGATATAGAGTGTCTGAGTGATTGAATATGCAGGGAACTGTGCTCACAAGCTCAGTGTACACAGGTCAGTGAAAGATGACTGGCATTTAATTTGTAAACTCCAAAGAAAGAAGACCGACCATGGCTGGTGATGTGGTTACTATGTTTCTGGTTCGAGCACAGCTAAACATGGTTATCTGCATAAAATGAGTGCAAGATCAGTCAAAGTCACAAGACATAACATACCCTGAAAGTGGGCTGCAAAATTGGCAAGCGACATTGGAAAATATTCATGTAAAAATCTACGAGAATAATCATAAGCAGCTTAAGTCTTTATAGTTACGAACGCATAACCAGCAGGTGTGGTCAAGGAAAATCTGAAGGAAGTTAAAGCACTTTTTGGACATGTGCATGTATATGGCCACCTCAGAGTACTGTATTTAGTTAGAAATACAGCAACCATAAAAACCCTAACTACCAGTTTCACTCAGGACACGGAACGTAAACAGAACACTACAAACTCTCAGGATCGATTCTACTGCGAAATGTATACGTTAAAGAACATAACTCCAAAAATAAAAAGCATTAGGCAAATTGGTTATAGTAATATTGAGAAATGTCACACCTTGGCTCAGAGTACATCCTGTTAAACATTTAGCTGCTCAGTGAAAACACTTTTGTCATTTTATTTACTATATGATGTCTGGCAAAGGGTACTAACAGAAACCTCAGTTCAACCAGTTTACAACCCTACTATGACTCCTTATGACAGAACAGTTCTGAAATTTCCAACAGCATCCAAGAGAAATAACTCATGACATGCCATGATGATGTAAAACAGCAGTAATCAAGACAAAAAAAGACAAAAAACTGCAAAGAGACAGTAACAGCCAACATATGGATGCTTGATGCAATCTGAAATTCATTTCTGAATATACACCCTCCTCTGTTGTCACAGAGACTGAAATCCGGCTCTGAAGCTACATTACTTCATTTTCTGTCTTAACTGTGTTGACTAATGTACTAAATCCTAGTTCTATTTAAAAACCGAGGAGTAAACAGCAACAGAAGGCATTGTTTGCCCTGGAGTATACAACTTCCAACTACTATAGGCAAATTCACTCACGATTAACGTTCTCTCTTGGCGCAAGGTTCTCAAGTGACCACAAGAGGGGGCACTCTAGTTAACCAGTCACACATCACAAGGATCAATAACACACTATAATAAATATGAGCCAACAATTATAAAGTAAAAATGCACAAAATATACATATACTGTACATACACACAAAGTGTGTATATTGTATATCTATATAAAAACATCTGAATTTTCTTTCCTTCTTACATATACATTTGGGTATATGAGATATGATAGAACGGAATACGGGTTTGCGTTAACAAGTCCCTTAAAATGTGAGAAGAGGGACATTACCAAGCCGAGCAGAGCTAAATAATGCTAAGACTCAGAACATGCTATAAAGACTAGGACCACATAGCCTCATCAGTCTAAGGCAAAGACCGGCTAGTACACATACCAACACCCACACACGGCACGACCTTATGATGTCAAACGTCAATTTGATCAACTGATGTGTACTAATTTTGGCTCTGCCTTTAGAGTTGGTCAACACCTCAACACGGTATGGTTACTTTAACATCCAGATGGCATAAATAAGCATTACGAAAATATATTTTCTTAAATGTTGGTGTGCACATTTTTTCTCGTACTAATTCATGAGCAAAAAGACTTGATAGGTTAAGACAGAACTTTGCTTTCAGGTTCATGGAGACTATGACAGCATGGGAACAATTAAAGGTAAGGTGGACACTGAACAAGGAGCCAGGGCATTAAATGTAGGTCTTTGATTTTAACTTACATACTGTTAAGCTTTCTCTCTTCCCAGAAATGTAATGGGACAAATGAAAGCATGGTGCATTGAAAAATAAACAACCAAAGACAATCACCATCAGCAGGTTCCTCCTCCTGGCCTTTCTTACATACACATATGCCATACAAGTAAGGTGAGCACAACTGTAAATTAGACTCACAAGTTCTTCCATCACTGACTTCTGAATGGGAACATAAGAAGTGTGCATAAATATACCTATAGTTTAAAAAAAAAAAAAGTTAAATCTCACCTAGTGATGATGTGGAAACAGTGCATGCTACAGGACAGCGAGCAAATTTGGCTGGAGGAAAGGGTGATGGGAAGGCAAGTTTGGAAGTCAAAGGCCAAAAAGAGGAGTACAACAAACAGGAGAACAAACGTCTTTTTTTAACGTTTTTTTTTTTCCAGAAGCTACACTGAGGCGAATTTAGCCACTCTGTAAGAATGACGGTGGTAATGGATGTGAGAAAAAGGGAGAATGGAGGATGTAAAAGAGTTCAGCTTGTGTTCCACTATCACTGGCTTTACTCCTTGCCAATGGTGGCTTTTTCTTTTTTGTTGTTGCTCCTCTGGTTGTTCCTCAGACTGGGGGAGGGAGCAGAGTGGCAGATGGAGGGCCACGTGGTGGAGGCAGGGGAGGGGGGATGGCGTTAGTTGAAGCCAGTGTCGGTCCGGTAGGTGGTGTGGTGGCCATCAGATGTTAGTTGAGTGGTCTCTGTGGCTGAAGGCTGCAGGACAATGGGCTCACCTCCACCCGCCTCTGTTTGGTGATTTTAAAAAACAGGTGATTGGTGGTCACAAAAAATCTCTTTAAACAAAAAACTAAATAAAATGACATATAAAGTTCACAATTTTCTCATGATTAAGTGTGGTGTGTCAAGAGAGATTAATAATAATTCTTACAACACCAACTTTATGCTAAAATCACTGTATAATTGTCACAAACTTCATTTTGTACAACAATCTAATATATGTGCATGTAGTTAATGATACAAATGCTCCACCACCCATAAGCATGTCTTTAGTTTTGGACTTAAATGGTTAAAGGCACAGCACATTATTTTTCCTGCTTACTCAAAATGATATATTAGCAGGAAGTATGTGATTTTCTTCAGATTTCGCTTCAGTGCAATATTTATTGGGCACTGCAGAGAGCATAAAATTACCTCTAAATTTTGAATTTTTTGTATACTGTCCCCTAACAACCGTTTAGGAATTAAACTTTATTTGGTGTGATTTTAGAAGTCACAGATAACACTAATTGACCATAGCAAATCATAAGCTACCTTTAATCGCATATTCATGAACTGTGAAATCAACTGACCCTGCCACACTTCACATGCTCCACATCGCTTTACTTGACTAATGCTATAGCTACTAGGGGAAGGCAATCAATTACAAATGCTCAGTTTTTGGATGCAAGAAGGAGAATTGTCACTCTCTACATTCTATTCCAAATAACAAGACCGAATCAAAATGGCTCAAATTTCTCTCTGGGGTTGAAGTGACACCCAGTACAAGAGTTTGTACCAAGCATGTTATTCCTGACGCATTTGAAAATTGGGCTAAAGCTCTGAATTTGCCAGCCGACTCACGCTGAAAGAAACAGCTTCCCTGACACTGACTGGAGGTACTGTGGATGATAAGATAGTAAATCTTTCTTTTTAAGTAACACTCAACGTTTTTATTTGACAGTTTATTCAATAATGTAGCTAGCAATGAGAATGTAGCAAACTGCCAGCTAATTTTCGCTAAGTGTGATATATAATTTAGATTGCTAATATTTAGATTGCTAATATTTTGTACCTAAGACGCAAGACAGCTACAAATTTATTTTTATAACGTTAACTTTAAGAATAAAAGCCGAATAAAAGTTAGCTAGCTAACGTTAACTAACACCAGAGTCTCAGTCAACAGCGAAATCCACACTGTGATTAAAAAAGTGGCTGAATTAATATTCTGTACACTAATTTAAAAGTGATCAATAAATAACAAATGCATGTTCTTAAAAAATTAAACTGTTGCATCCTCTAATTTAATTTTAGGAGAGAATTTGAATAATTTTTAAAAACATGCAAAATGTGACAGGAAAAACTATTTACTCAGATATGGAATAGACCCAAAAACTTCATTTTTTATTTTTATGAACAATATTTTTATGATTTTACCCAATTTTCTTAAGCACATATTTTGTGTGTTACAGTTGTGTTACAGTGATTTTATCACAGATAAGAGGGTTGTTAGGCATGACGCAAAACAGGAAGTGGCTTTTTGCTTTTGTAAAATGGCATAAAATATGATAAAATACACAATAAATAACATATTAACAAAATCACAATAAACAATTATTCAGCCAGTAATGTAGTTCCTCTAGAGTATGTTATTGCTGCCATGCAACCAGGGACTGCGGTAAGAGGAGAAGAATGTCGAGAACAATGCTAACTGCGATTTCCATTCTTATTTAGAACTCAGCTAACAGCCCCCACACTGGGGCTGAATCTCAAATGGCTCCCAATGACGTCTTCATAAGAATTAAAATACTAATTGTGTAAAACATTCAAGTGACATATTTTTACTTTTTTAGTAAAGTACTTTAATTCAGAATATTAATGGAGGAGTTTTTAGGCTGTTAGCTAACTGGTCTGTGTAGTTTATATTAATAAACTAATTAAAAAAGTTGTACTTGGTGATCCATGCAAGCTGCATTAGTTACAAATTATTCCCATTAACAGTACAAATTTAACACATTTGAAACAGCACTTTTCGATCAATGCATCAGGTTGCCTCAATGCATTTGAATAATGATCCAAGACAAAACAGACAGCTAACCTCTCTCATCAGCCTGCAGTTGGGCCTCCAAGTCTTCAGGAGAGACGTAGAACTCCGGCTCCTGTCCCTCCGGTGGCCGTGGTTTACACTTCCCACAGCAGCAGTTACAGCAGCAGCACAGACAGCAGCAGAAATAGCAGCCCGTAGCCAGACCACAGAACACAAATAGTGCCTGCAGAGGGAGACAGAGTGTACAAGAGAACAGAGAGGGGTATTACAGAGAAGACAAGTGTAGGAAGGACAAAATGAGGCATCAGTAATAAGGAAACATCAACAAGCACCGATCATCCAATTACGTGCATTTACTGTGTAAAATAGACTAGCTTCCCACATACTGGCTGAGTTACAAATGTCACGAATCATGCAGTGCTTTATCTGCCAATTAAACAGGAGCATCACATCAAAAAAATATATGCAAAACACAATACAAAAAGTTTTCTGTCTTTTCTGATGCATCAAATGTGGCCTCACCTTAGCCCACCAGCTGGACAAGACGAAGTAAGTGTTGACGTTCTCCTCGCCAAACTGCTCAGCTACATAGAGGCCCAGAGAGCCATACTTGTCATAAATGTTGCGTTTGGTGGGATCATTCAGGATGGCATGGGCGTTGTTTATTTCTTTAAACTTGTCTGCTGCCTCAGGATTGTCCGGATTCTTGTCAGGGTGATATTTCAGTGCAAGTTTCCTTTGAGTAAAAGTACATGACATTTGCAGTGAATTATTGGGTGAGGTTAAAGGTGTGGCCAGTTGGCGACTACGGAGAAGCACATTAACAGGCTCACCTGTAGGACTTCTTAATGTCATCACTAGTGGCCAGCTTGTCGACGCCCAGCACATGGTAGAGGGATTCTCCAGAGGTGGAGAGGGTGCGCTGCCTCTGCTGCTCAGCCATGGCGACTCACGTCCTCAACAATCTGCAGACACATATGTCTCTTTATGATTGATCACAATCCAGTGTGTCCACCTCTAGGTGCATGTAAGATCATTTCATTCATTCACACATTTTAGAAAGTTCCACTCCAGCCTTTTGTTTTGACATGAAATGTTCAATAAGCATTTAAATGTAGCTATTACACGAAGCCCTCAGAAATGTTTCAAGTTTCGGTATGACACATAAATATATTGAAAAAAACAAAACTCACAGGAACACAGCATTTTATTGATTTGTGTCATCTCAGACACAGATGTTTTTAATCCCACCCATCCCATGTCAAAAGAAAGTCATGAAATGGTTCATTAGCACACTGACCGTGTGCTATCAACAACACACTTTCCTGTTCATAAGATAAAATATACGTAAAGCTGTGAGCTCCATCAGTATCAGGACTACACAGTCATTAATACGTACTTAATATGTAATCCATGATGTCTGTCCAGGAGTCCAAAAAGCCAAACATCAGCAAGGAGCTGATCCACACAGACATAGATTACACCTAATCCACCTATTTTCAAGCCCCTTGCTTCACTGCTCTGTTAATCAGTGCAGAGAAGCAGCAGCTGAAGATTGTTTATCTCCTGAACAGAGTCAGCCTGACATCACAGTTTTAGTAGATAAGCAGATCTGTCCAATGAACTGATTTCATTAATTGTGGAGGACACTGGGCACAATGGTAAAAGACTGCAGCCTGTGTGCTTACTACAATCTGGAAATGCTGGGTTAAAATAGAAACAACAGACATAATTTGAGATGTTCTAGATATTCATATTACCACTTTGCTTGTCTTGCTCATCTTAAAAATACATCAACACAAGTTTTTGGGAGTTGGAGAAGGTTAGGGTTAGGTTAGGAACAATGTCACATTTGAATGAGTCTCTCAAAAAACAGCCAGCATCATATTATTTGCCTCTGCTCGCCTTGCTTAAAAGTCACTGGTTCACCTGGTTTTGATCCAGTCAGAGCTTTGTTTTTTTTTAACCCACTTTAAAAAAACTGTTTAAATACGAATTATGACAGGTAATCCTTAATCCTCAGACCCATAATGTAGCCTCATACATACATTATCATACTGCTGTTAAACATCAGTCAAAGGCCTAATGTCAAATTGATTCTGACACAGTTCTTTTATCCGTACTAATATTATCTTGCATGTCCATTAGGCAACAGGAAATCAGAAGAGAAAAAGCATAACCCATGACCTTCCCACATCAGGCCAAAAGATGATACATTTGGCTTTCTGAAAGAGGCAAGAAGCCAAACACTCAGCATTGTATCTTCTCATTCAGAGACCATACACCTACACTAAACATCTCTGACTTTGAATGCAGGCAAGAAGGAGTGAAGCCAAAATAACATTAATACGAGAAATGTATAGGCATAAGACACAGGCCAACATATAAGGCACTTTAATAGTGGGTGTGCAGAGACACCTCCTCAAAAGCTCTTCAGCTGACTTAAGCATTTTCCAAGATAATCTTTCTCTTTCAAGCACTTCTGACATTAGCGCGCAGCAGCCTTAGCACATAGTGGCATGTACTCCATGCCACTGTGTTTGACGGCAATTGTTTCTAAGTGTTCTTCCTACAGTTGACCACGTCTTCCGAAGTGATCAATGATCCTGGACACCAAATGAGATAAAACCACATTCAGAGACAGAGAGAACACATTACAAACTGGCTGTACAATGCAGCCGGTTTGCAAAGAGGTTATTACAAAAAGCCAAAACAGCATCTTATTTGTGTCCTACCATAAGCATTTATTAGTTAGACTAAGAACACAATTACGAATGCAAAGCTCCATTTAAAGAGATTCCTGTAACCTGAATTTGCAAAAAATGGGAAGAGCAAAATTTCTGAAAGTCTAGCAGTGATACTACTAACTAAAACACATTAAAGGGTCATAGCCCGACGAATTATTCCTTTTTTTTTCCCTGAGGTCTATTTTTGTGAGCTGTACTTTGTGTGGGTCTGTGTATGAAAAAGTCATTTTGTTTTTTTACCATTGACCATATTTCAGCCTCTATCTCTTAGAATTAAACAGATTGCTTTTGTTTCTGTGCCTTTAAGACTGATATATGCAAATGAGCTCTGTTCTGACTGGCTACTCTGTGCTGTACCTTTTTTAGAAAGCATTATGAGCTGAAACACTACTTATAACTTCAACGCGAACGGGTGGGGAAAATGGCCAGAGGCGGAATAAGCATATATGTGTCAAAGCTTTCGTATCTGGGACATCACAAAAAACAAATACTACAAAATAGGCTTATTGCATCTTAATTTCCATATATAAACTGTATGGCCTGAGGAGTGAATGGTACATTGTATACATTGTAAACTTTAACAACATTGACATACAACATCAAACTCTTTAACTGCAGCCTTTAATGACCAATTCTCTAAAATCAGGATTGTTATTTTGACTAACACAATAACAATAAAAGGGCAATTTATACAATTTTTATGGACTCATAAGAAGCAACAGTAAGCCTCCCTTTACTATCCACGTAATGGCCTGCTTTCTCTAATACAATCCACACTCTGCGGCCAACTAACCTGCTTCCGACTGATATCCACTGAGAATGAAACAGCAATCCACACTGTTAGTCAGGCAAATGCAATATAATTACATAGCCTGTATACATAGCTTCTGTCGTCCTTTCCATATCAAATGGTTTGGATAAAGAGAGCATTTACTACAACTTAAATGCAAATAAAACCATGAAGCGGCTCCAGAACAGCCACAGATAAAACTTAAAGCTTTCATTGTTGCAATAAACATCACACGGTAGAATAATTTTCTTTGGGTGGCATTTTTTCATGTGTTAGTCTGTTGGCTTACGCAATCTTATCTCTGCAAATGGTTAGCTAAACCTGTAACAATCTGAATTTATCTTTAAAATGCCCAAGTCTGTATCTGTGGTTTGCCTCTCCTGCACAGAGAACCAAAAGCTTGCAGCTGCAGCATCAGTATGAGATTTAAACACTGAAGCCACTTTCATTAATTAGCGGTTTAAATGGAAGACTGATCGATACTGCAAACGACAGGAGGAAGTCCGCCTTCTACTGATGGCGAAGGACAAATTTAAGACTGTTTATCATGTTTGTATGTGCAACCTTTCTTGAAACATAAGCTGAACGTGTTCAGGTGGTGAACTACGAGAAAAGCCCTTAACTTGCGGTCACTTCACTTGAAATTTTACTGCTCAAAAACACATACAACTGTTGGATAAGAGGTTCATTTTAGAAGCTTAACTGACTGAAAACTGAATTGAAGGAACTGATCCCAATTCTGGTCTCCTACAGACCTAAAAACTCTCAGATAGCATATCTGCCTGGAGTTCAGGAGCATTTATTTGGTAGACTAGACAAGACTATTAGCTTCCTCTTGTGAGACTTTATGAAAACAGCATGGGTCATGCAGTCTTGCTAGAAGATGGCACAGTGGCAAAAAACACCTAACGCCTAAGCCTTTTTATGAAGAACACTTCAATGCCAATTGAATTGGATCTGATGTTAATACACTAATGCCTGCATGAATTCAATGAAGGTACTGCTGGAATTAATAGACTGTGCAGCGTCAAAGCAGGCCTAGAGAGCCCAGACAGTTACCACATCATGAGTATGGCCTATAAAATAATACACAGTCCAGAAAAAATAAATGTCTACATCTGGGTTCCAGGCATTAAAGACACTGCTCTCCCTGCTCCTCACACTGCCCAAACCTGATGACATCATCACCAGGCCTGTACAGCGATCAGTGGAATTACCCATGATTCATCAGCTGACTCACTCTTTTTCTGTCAGCTGCTCCTTTAGTGCTGCCTTTCACTGAGAGAAATCAATACTGATCATATGCCATCATTCTAAGAAACTGTCACTCACTATGCCCTATATAATACTAACCTGATAAAGAGACGCCTGCTTTCTAAGACAGCTGCTCAGAAAATAGCTCTGTACCATATAGCCTGTCTAGAGTGAAGTGGCAGTATATACACAACTACCATCATTGAATATGCCTTATAAAATCAGATATTTCCTCAGCAGGTTTTTGCCCAGGCTGACCACTTTAGATGAGCAAGACACATGAAACTGTGAACCCATCCGCATGCGGGGCCTGCATCCAACAATCACACAACAGAATTCGTTTTGGTGTTAGTACTCAGTATTGGCAGGTACTTCAGATTCAGTACATTTTACTGTTGTTAGCTGTGCAGAAAGGATATTAGTTTATTATCTACTAATATCTAAATATTCATATGCACAGATTTGATCTGAAAATGACTGTACATCAAAATTTACATTTAAATAGCAATTTACAAAAAGTGAATATGGCATGAAAATATGTGCAGATATATTCAAGTTTCCCACCTGCATACAAACGGCAGATTGTGCTTAGTGATTAGGATTTGTGAGCACTGCGTTTTTATAAATCAACTGTACATAAATGCTGAGAAATTATCTTAAGAACAAATATAGAATATAATTCAAGTAGATTTTACAAATGGGCTGCACAATAAAAACAAAATGCCACTTTGCAATTGTGATGTGCTATGCAATTTAAAATACATTGGTGGACCCTTAATGCTACATGGTTAAAACGGTAAACGCTCTGACTAATACTATTTACTTAATAATATTTAAATAATATTAATAATAGCAAATAATATTTTTGTATTTGCTGGACTGGGTGACAGACTGTTCTGATTAAATTTTTTGACTAGCTAAAGGACATTTTTTGCATACTGCAGCCTTCCGCAAAGGCCAATACTTTACTACTGCTTAAGAATGAATATATTGTGCAACCTCACTAAATACTATATCCTGCAGCACACAACAGCTTTTTGCTCTGCACTGCAACACTAAAGAGCAGCTGAGCAGCAGGTTGCACAATATAGCACGACATAAAAATACAGCAGTATACCTCCAATTAAGAAGTGCAGGAGTGGGGGCAATGTAGTTGTACATCTGGAGAGGCTTGGGCTGGTTTCCAATTATCACAAGAGGTTCTAGAGTCTATACACTGAGCTCAGCTGAGTCTCCTATTTCAGCTAGTTTACTCAGCACTGCTGGCCAACAACTCATCCCCTCCTGGCCAACACACAGGGTACCTATGGTGCACAAAATAGCAAAGGGGCCACAGAATTTCTTGGAAGAGTGAGATCATATGGTGAGTGCTTCAAAATCACTGACACTAAGACGACAGAATGTAATCTTTGCTTCCACATGTACTTCATTTTATTGCAGCAGAAGTCAGAGTCACTGTTGCTGTGATTGGCAGATTAGCTCCTCCACATTAATGTCAAGCAATATGAATGTTATTTTTGCTCACTGTAGTATACGTTGTCTTCTATTTGTCTACAATGATTTCACAACAACAGTGAGTCAGGCAGCGGAAAGCTGATATCAGAACGGTTCACCTACAGCGGCGAGATGCGTGTTGCTATCTGTAAAACAAGCGTAATGGTTGCAGGTGTGGCAACAGCCTCGTTTTCCAGAAGCATCACCTGGAAACGGTTAGCAGCTAATACACCAGTACACATCCTAACCTCCTCCTCCTCCTCCACTGAGGGAGAGGCACGCTGACATGATGGGCAGGACGCTGGGAAGGATCTGTGCTCCCTTTTTTTTATTCTGAGGGGAACATTTACCCACACAGAAATGGTACAGGCGCCGCTCTTAGCGCGAGAAATGGCGCACTTTTGCCGTTATCCACCACCACAAACCACCTCCATTCGAAACCGAGCAAACGGCCCCACCGTTCATTCACGGCGAAGACTCGCAAACAAGGAACCGAAATCACGGCCGCCGACTGCGGTTACCACAAATGTGGGGAAAATAACTGGAGCGAAACGTGCTAAACACGTCCGCCCGCCGCGCTCTGATGCTGGGTTTCTCCCCGGAGGGGATTTAGAGCGGCTAATCTCTAGCCTGCTAGCCGCTGCATCATAAGAGCTCGGTGCTCTGGCTAACAGGGCGCTGTAGCATCCATGTTGGTTAGCCCGTTAGCTGTGCTTCTCCGTCTCCGCGCGGAATAAAGCGACGGTAGCAGCCTGAGGAAGATTAATCCGCTCGGCGGAGGAAACACAGTTCACCGTGAGGAATTAAAGCGCGCTCGCCGCTTACCGTGTAGTCGGCCTCGACACGCTGCGTCTCGCTCCGGTTTCAGTGCGTTAGGACTCGAGGTCAGATTCGTAGCTGCATCCCCGGAGCCGCGCGCTCTCGTACGTGAACGGTGAGCTGCAGCAGCGGCGGGTCTTGCGCGGCTCCGCCCCCCGGTGATGGCGTAGCGACGCGCGCGGCCCCCTTGCTCTAGGGGGTCGCAAGGAAGGCCCTGGTGTTGTGTTTTCTTTCTCTCAGGAAGGAGATAACGTTACAGAATCATAAATTAGACTCGTGTCGTGTATTAGTTATTGATATATATTAAATCTGTCAGTGTGTTAGTGATATGAACAGTTCGGTCCTCCGCTGATAACGTGTTTGTGTTCGTTACGAGACGAAGAAGTTTTCCTAAATTAGTGATTTTATAGCAGAACCATGAATGAGATGAGTTAAACCAGAGGAGGGTAGTAGTCAGGGACATGTACTGAAGTAAAACACTGATGGATTTGTACTGTCCTTACCTTTTATTTCTACAAAAGTGAGTAAAATAATGTGCTTTTTTACTCAGTTACAGCTTCGCCGTTCATATTTAGTTACGAATTGTTTTTTGTGTTTAACTTAAGTATGTTTTGTTGGTGACAAATGTTGGTCACATCTCTGACTTTGGAGCTTTAACCGTTTATTTTAAACCAAAACAATCTGAAAAAGAGAAGAACGGAGTGTAACAGTCTTTAGTTCCTCTGCTGATGGATGCTGGATTTACTAAGAAGATCCACTGCAGTTCTATAAATTATTTAATATTTATGCAGTTTTTGGCCAGATATTTTTGTACTTTTACTCAAAATGTAAATAAATAAAATAAATAACAAAGAGAAGAACAGCACATTTTTTTAAAAAATAAATCTCATACTCAGTAACCTCAACAAGATGTTTTTTGTGCTGTGGATCTGAGCAACATTTAGGAGGTATTTTGGCTCATTTCTCAACACAGATCTGTTTTAGTTCATGTAATTTTTACATGTCTTGCTTGAATTGTCAGCTTCAGAGACTGACAGAGAATCTGAGCTTCTCTAAAACACAAATTCTTCACACCCATATATATTTCAGTACGTACTTTTTTGGTTTACTTATTACTCTGTCAGAAAAAAGATACTGTGCAAATACATTTTTCATTCATCAAACAATGTGAATGTACCTTCAAAAGTACAGTAATGTTTTTAATGTTCAAATGTGTACCTTCAATATGTTTTTCCAAGGGAAAAGGTATTTATACCTTTTTCATAGTGTAATGTTTTAATACAGAACAATAAAATAAAATAAAATGCCTGGAGTGATAATAACAGGCTGTGTGAAGTCAATACAACTTACCAAATATAATTGCAATGGATTATGGTACAATTATGTTCCCTAACTAAAGGTACTGAAGACGTACCCTTGAGGAAACTACCACAGTGACTAAAAGGGTATTGCCCCAGTGACAGTTTAGGACCTGTTTTTCTGAGAGTGTAGAGAATGAGGGGTAATATTAAAGAGATGTGAAATATGTTAGACTTTGAATTGAAGAAAACTGGCATTCCTTAAGGACAGATGTTAACTACATGGAGCTCCTTTTCTTCAGTTGTAGATCATAAAGAGCCTCAGTTCTGCCTGAGGTTATGAAAGGATTAGGTTTCTTTAAAAAGAAAATACACAAATATTAATTCTTTTCTGACTAATGTTATGCAAAGAAAAATGAAATTGCCTGACCTGTTTTATATTCAGAGTGAGGTAAAGTGGGATGAATTGCTCTTTGCATGACAGGAGCCAGTCAAATGTAACCATCATATATAATTATCACGAAAGTGCTTTCTGTTCAGCATTTGTTTTAACTGGCATTTTCCTTTTGGTTATGGTGATGATTTGAAACCTGTGTGATTCCATCAAGCGCAAAAGTAGAGCAACAAATCAGCACTGTGGGCCTCAAGTTTTCTTAAATTTGTTCTTGAGAAAGGTCCTAAAAAAGACTACGTCAGATTCATGACGTGTTCTCGAACTGCAGAATTGTTCACACCTTTGTGCTCTTGAGTGTGTGTACATTCTGTTCTCACCTAAGAAAAAAACCCTAATAAGAAAACAGTGGTAAATGTGAGAATCTTCATTAAAACTGCATAGATTGGTGAATGAAGCTCATTGGTCTTACATATAAGGATGTATAAAGAATTGTTACATTATTTAGTTATATTTATTAAGAGGATAGTGTGTCAGAGAGGAAGCCTTGGCTGCTGTTCCTCGTAGTCCGCCCTTCAAATAACCTTGTTTTTAATCCAGTTCAGTTCATTATTGTTATTCATTAAAACCATATGTGATGGAACATTTTGTTGCTCTACACAGGGGTTTACTTTACTGCCAGTAGACTTTAGCACAAGTTTCTATGAGTTCAATGCACTTTCCCACTTTTGTGGGCAAACTGTCCCACTTTACCTGAAAAAACAGCTGAAGTGAAAAACAGTACCCCGCAGTTCTCCAGAGTCTGTAATATCCGTGGGTGGAAAAAGTACAGACATCTGATGAAGGCATTTAATGTCACAGTTTTTGCTTATATAGAAAGGAGTAGAGTGTTGCACATTTTTCTTGACAAGACTGTTTCTAGTTTTTGGTTGCACCACACTCAGGTGATAAAAGCACCCGTTTCTTCCTCTTCATCTTGGAAAAAGTACAGAAAAATTATGCATAAAAGAAAGTACGAGTATACTTTGTCAGACTCTTCAGTCAATTAAAAGAGGAATAATAAAGCCAAAAATATGCGTGAGTGAAAGTCAAGAAAAATGATCAGCATTTAAACATATTTGAGCACATACAAGTAAAGAGTAAACAATTTAACATGTAAAATAAAGAGTCAAGGCATGTTCTTCTTTAAACATTAAAATAATATGGGACACAAACTGAGTCTGTGTCACTTACACTCTTAAAAAAAGATGGTTCTTCAAGGGTTCTTTAGTAAAACAGTGGTTCTATATAGCACCATGAATACTCAAAGAACCATTTACATGCTTAAATGTCTCTTTACATGGTGAAATCATTCTTCAGATTGATGGAGAATGTGTTGTATATGGTTCTATATAGAACCTTTTTGAAAAGTTTCTATATAGCACCAAAAAGGGTTCTTCTATTGTTACAAGCTTGACATCATAACAACAATATCCCTTTTTGGTGCTATATAGAACCATACACAGCATATTGTCAGTCTGAAGAACAATTTCATTATGTAAAGATGTAAAGTATGTTCTACACAGAACCATTGTCTTTACTAAAGAACCCTTGAGGAGTCATCCTTTTTAAGAGTGACTAGTGAATCTGTTTTGTTTTATCCCTTTTCAGCAAATGTTGTGTGTAAAGGTGGTACTGGTCCTTGCGTAAAGAATTAGTAGCTACAGGGTAGTAATTAAAAAAAAACATTTCTATAAATGTGTGACAGCTCAATAGATTTTTTTTGTGAGAAGTGAGTAAAATCTTCTGGCCTCTGAGATTTTAATGAGTACTTCAGAGGTCTAAATGAAAATGAATGCATGAGTAGAATGCATTTTTTTCTCTTGGAAATGTAATTAAGTAGGAGTATCCAATACTAAGTGTTCAATTTCAATATTACTTGCATAAAAGTATGAATGATCCAAAATTATACTCAAATATAGTACAATAAGTAAATACAACCCCAATTCCTAAAAAGTTGGGATGCTGTGTAAAATGTAAATAAATATAAATAAAAACAGAATGCAATGATTTGCAAATCTCATAGACCCATATTTTATTCACAATAGAACATAGAACACATATCAGATGTTGAAAGTGAGACATTTTACCATTTCACGAAAAACATTAACTCATTTACAACTTGATGGCAGCAACACATCTCAAAAAAGGTTGGGACAGGGCCATGTCTACCATTGTGTAGCATCCCCTCTACTTATAACAACAGTCTGTAAACATCTGGGAAGTAAGGAAACCAATTGCTGGAGTTTTGGGAGAGGAATGTTGTTCCATTCTTGTCTGATGTAGGATTCTAGCTGCTCAACAGTCCTGGGTCTTCTTTGCCGAATTTTTCATTTCATGATGCGCCAAATGTTTTCTATTGGTGAAAAGTCTGGACTTCAGGCAGGCCAGTTCAGCACCCGGACTCTTCTTCTGCGAAGCCATACCGTTGTGAAGGATGCAGTATGTGGTTTAGCATTGTCTTGCTGAAATATGCAAGGCCTTCCCTGAAAGAGCTGCTGTCTGAATGGGTGCATATGTTGTTCTAAAACCTCTATATACTGTTCAGCATTGATAGTGCCTTTCCAGATGTGTAAGCTGCCCACGATATAGGCACTAATGCAACCCCATACCATCAGAGATGCAGGCTTTTAAAATGTGTGCTGCTAACAAGCTGGATGGTCCTCTTGAGTCCATGGGACATGGCGTCCATGGTTTCCAAAAAGAATTTAAAATTTTGATTCGTCTGACCACAGAGCAGTTTTCCATTTTGCCTCAATCCATTTAAAATGAGAGAAAATGGTGGTGTTTCTGGATCATGTTGACATATGGCTTCCTCTTTGCATGATACAGCTTTAATTTGCATTTGTGGATTGCACAGTGAACTGTCTTCACAGACAATGATTCTGGAAGTGTTAATAAGCCCATGCAGTGATTTCCAGTAAAGAATCATGCCTGTTTTTAATCATTGCAGTGCCGCCTGAGGGCCCAAAAATCACAAGCGACCAATATTGACCGTCGGCCTTGTCCCACTGTACAGGAATTTCACCAGATTCTCTGAATCTTTCAATGATATTATGTACTGTAGATGGTGGGATATCCAAATTCTTCGCAATTTTATGTTGAGGAGCACTTTTCTAAAATTGTTCCACAATTTTAAGATGCAGTTTTTCACAGATTAGTAACCCTCTTTTTATACCCATTGATGTGAATTAGTTGCAAATTGCTCCTCCTTTTTAAAGATGCGTTGCTGCCATCAAGTTCTAAATCAGTTAATGTTTTTCATGAAATGGAATCTGATATGTGTTCTGTAGTCTATTGTGAATAAAATATGGGTCTATGAGATTTGCAAATCATTGTATTCTGTTTTTATTTACAGTTATTTACATTTTACACAGCGTACCAACTTTT